AATTGGTGATAAGAATGAACTAGAGAGGGAGAGAGACTGGATTTGGATACTTGGTTGGTGGTTACACTGTAATCTCATCAAATCATGAGTTGTTTCTAATCAATAGGAATCGTCTGCACCTGTCCACAAAAGTGGCGAGTTATCAAACTGCGTTCTTTATTTTAACATACTGGTGTCTGCACTCTCTGCTTTCACAAATCTTCATGTATCTTTGTCTTCCCCAGAGAGTGGGAATACCTTTTTGGTGTTTTACGTCCAAGAGATGTCCAGATCTACACATAATCTCAGACGAAGCAGTTTTATTGCTTGCTTTGGAGGAATTCTTCTCTAATTGATGATAAGAAGGAGAGAGAGAGAGAGAGAGAGAGAGAGAGAGAGAGAGAGAGAGAGAGAGAGAGAGAGAGAGAGAGAGAGAGGATTTGAGTCCGTAACGCGGAAACCGGACACCAGTTGACCCCCGGGTCTCACTTACCCAAATCTGTCCTCGATGTTTTAATTTTTTTCTTGCCGAGCTAACTTAAATGCTTGGATCGTCTCCTCATTAAATGCAGTCGTCACTCAAAAAATTCCATTAAATTGCACCCGACTGCCCAATCACATGTGCCCTTTCTTTCTCTTCCCAGCTCAGCCCCCTTGACTCCTGTCTAGACTGAACTCAAGAGGGACAAGACAACCTGTCTTCTATTTTTGTCCCAAACAGTTTTGTGAACGATGAATTGATAGGCTCGAACTCATGTCCTTTCTCGTTCGTCTCGTCGAGCTTGCTATGCTAGGATTGGATTGCTTGCTCATGTCGACCTGTGTGCTGATACTTGAAAGGGAAACTGCCAATCCATTTTAGCTAATCTGCGTATAATCACTTGTCTATCGTTATGCTAACTCGACACATCAATCGTACATTCTTTGTTTAGCTTGACCCAAGTCGAGTGATTTGAAATTGAACCGAGAGGCTGTAAACTTTGTAAATGCCAACTCGAGCGTGTCTAATTTGGCTGGTGATTTTTGCCAATGTAGTCCTGAAACCTACTCTAGTTTCTATTCACATATTGATTATATCATCATATAATTTTGGAGATAGAATTGAGTATTTGAGCCTATCGAGTGCTTTTATGTACGATCTACAGCTCGAACTAAAAGATCAAGCTTAATTAAGCATGAGTTTGTGAACAGACTTGGAGACTCAATTACCTGAAGCATAAGATACCCTACAACTCTACTAAACTTTTAGGCACCTTTAGTGTGTTATTGAAAGTTATTAGTCATAAAAGCACATGCAACGTGGAAAAATTGAAACATGGGGAGGATATGGTGCTGGAAAATCTGAGTCGGGATTTAAGCTATTAGAAGGATGTACAATGCGCACATCTATAAACAAAGAGCCATTATTAACCTTACTCACGTGCCGATACACACATATATACACGGTTCAAATGACATGGATAAATTTAGAACTATATCCCGGCAAATTGAAATTTCCGGTTTGAGATGTCTTATCTAATGAGGGATATGAGATGTCTTGACTAATAACAACTTTATTTAATCTCATGTGGATCGTGTCATTATGTTGGTTGACCTGGGGAAGCATGTCAATCGTTAAGGACAGGACAACGAGTAAAGCAATTAAGCGGGGGTTTCCCCACCTAACATTTTTAAATATTCCAATTATGTATAAATATTTTCCACTTCAATATAAACTCGACCCCATTCTTTTAGTAGTTTTGACCCCCACACAAATTTTGGACATCACAAATTTGTCCCACTTGAGTTCAAGAATACCCAACAAGGTGTAATAGAATAAAATTTTAAAAAGTGATGACACTAAAAGAGATAAAATTGCTATTCTTATAAAGAAGTTTTACCCAATTTCATCCAAATGATCTCTTTGTAGCGTTCTAATTGGTTCATTTATTGTGGCACGACAATATAACTTTCAACACATGATTGCCGTGTTCGAGTTCAACTTAGGCTCCGTTTGTTTAACGGAAAATGAATAATTTGGAAAACCTTTTTTTGAAAACATTTTCATTATTGACAACAATTTATGACTAAACATTTTCGTGGACAACGAAAATATTATTCGTTCATTCATTTTTGTAAGCGATATAAGTGATTATTTTTCAGTAAAATTGTTTTCCAAACCATTTATTTTCCGTAAAACAAATGCACCCTTAATCATGTTAGTCTTACAAGTGAGCAATCCCGGTTTGTTCGATCTCAAAACTTTATAAAAGGTTACTTTGCCCACCGATAAATTTCTCATTCTCCATCTTTGCGATGAAACTATTTTATATTTGACGCATTTTTTTTTGTAGAAAATCAACAATTTGGAATACATTTTCTAGAAAATGATTGCTTGCATTGCTCGGAAAAATGAATGGACAAAAAAATATTCTCATCATTAATGATAATGTTTAGGCACGATTTGTTATTGATAATGAAAATATCTTCCATTGACCATTTTTTCTTAGTCATAGATATAATCAATTCAAGAAAAAAAGATTTTTCAATTCACTTATTTTCAGCTACATGCTCGATCAAATTTCGGGAAATAGATTCAATTACCTTCACCTGGGGAATCGCCAAGAGCTCTGATGAGTTATGGGCTAATTCGGATATATTAACTACTCCTCACCACACTGATTCTTCGACATTGGACTTTTTTTCTTATATAACTTACACGTGCACCTCAACACTTCCTCCTCCATGAGGGATCAAATAAGACCCACAATGCAGACACATATGATACATTTTTTTTCTCGTGCACAAACAAATAATGGAGGGATTATATGGTTCTAGCCCCACAAGGAGAAACCAGCTAGATTCCCAAATTGTTGCATATGAGCCCACGAACGTGTAGAGCCTACGTTAAACGTGAGGGATCGATCAGAGTTACATAATGTGTAATTTTGCCTACCTTTGAGGCAGTATTCTTCAGCTTGCTAGTTCCTTTGAATGCCTTGCAATCTCATGTCTTTAGGGAAAAGTGCCAAAAAAGTCCTAAACCTTTTGCATTTGTGCCAATTTAGTCTTCAACATTTTTTTGGTACCAATTCAGTCCTAAACCTTTTTTTGGTGCTAATTGAGTCCTAAACCTTTTGCATTGGTGCCAATTCAGTCCTAAACCTTTTGTCTTTGTGCCAATTCAGTCTTTCCGGTCAATTTTGGCCGAATTTTGCTGACGTGGACGCCAACCGGCCAACGGCCGGTCACTGGCGCTGACGTGGACAACTTTAACAATATTTTAATATTTTTTTGAATTCTTTTCTTTTCTTTTTTTTTTCTCTCCTCCGCCACCCGGTCGCCGGACCGGCGACCGGCCGGTGGCCAGAAGCCAGAGGCCGGCACCGGCGAGGCTCACCCACGCCGGCCATTGGCGAGGCTCGCCCTCGCCGGCCACTGGCAAGGGCGGCCTCGCGCGGGCGGGGCTCGACCTTGCCGGCACCGGGCGAGGCTCGACCTCGCCGGAGGCCGCCGGGCGAGGGCTCGAGCCTCGCCATGGCCGGGCGAGGCCCGACCTCGCCGGCGGCTAGGCGAGGCACGACCTCACCAGATCTGGCGAGGTCGGGCCTCGCCTAGCCATGGCGAGGCTCGCCTTCGCCGTCGGCCGCGGGCGAGCCTCGCCGGCGACCGGGCTAGGCACGACCTCGTCGGATCCGGCGAGGTCGGGCCTCGCCTGCCGAGAGGCCGCCCTCGCCGGCGGCCGGCGTGGGCGAGCCTCGCCGGCGGCCGGCGTGGGCGAGCCTCGCCGGCGCCGGCCTCGGCTTCGGCCATCGGTCGGTCGCCGATCCGGCGACCGGCTGGAGGAGGGGAGAGAAAAAAAAAAGAAAAAATTCAAAAAAATATTATTAAAGTTGTCCACGTTAGCAAAATCCCGCCAAAATTGACCGGAAGGACTGAATTGGCATAAAGACAAAAGGCTTAGGACTGAATTGGCACCAATGCAAAATGTTTAGGACTCAATTGGCACCGAAAAAATGTTTAGGACTAAATTGGCACAAATGCAAAAGGTTTAAGACTGAATTGGCACAAAAAAAAGGTTTAAGACTAAATTGGCACAAATGCAAAAGGTTTAGGACTTTTTTGGCACTTTTCCCCATGTCTTTAACCTTTTCCAAAAAAACGACTTGCAGTTTCGTGATCCTGTTGTAATGCTCACGACACACCAATAAAGACTCAGTAGACCAAAAGCTTATGCAGGATGATCAGTCATATATAATCTTGGAAGAACAATATGCAGAGACATAGATGTTCTGTTGTCGCGTGGGTTTTTGTATATCGGTCTTTGTAATCGTCTTGCATATCTATGATGTAAGTCTAGATGAAAACCTACCGGGAAACGGAGTTACAAGTAAATATTTTCGCTTTGTCTCGGGGAAAGATCGAAGTTGGTGCCGAGATCGCAGCACACGCTGGCTCGCACAATCCTTGCGCGAAGTGAGAGCCTACATGAAACTCAAACCGTATCTTCTTGGAGGCACAGCAGATGCATGCATTGCAAGTCGCAGTCTGATGTACATCAGATGTATCGGATAATAGTAAATTTTCTCTCTTGGAAGTTGTACGTGCAACTTGGCGTGTCATCTTTAATTCTCTTCTGTCATTGGGTACGGCCATGACATGCATGCACACAAACACATCACTGTTAACTTTCTCTCATTCCAGTAAATATGCTGCGTACGTAGATCGCATAGGCGATTCTATCCACCACCCGCTTCGTTCTTAAATGTTGGTAACCACCTTCGAATAAGCCCCTAACTGTGAACTATAATGACTCCTCTCTATTTTAATGCCCTGAGAATTCTTTCTTTTTGAATCTCTCTCTCAAGTTGGAAGAACTCATGCCTCGTGGGGTTCGGAATCAATTATTTCGATTAGTAAAGACTTTTTCATGGACGTGCAGTGGGCAGTAGAGCTAGCGACCCCTCGGCCAAAAAGGGTAGCGATAATTTTCTGGGGAGGTGCACGATGTTTATGGGACTTGTAGATAAAGAGTTGTTTCTCACAATGGCATTTAAGGGGTGGCTTTGTCTAAGCATCTCTCGTGAAAGTTGGGTGAGGGTGAACTTAAAGCAAAGTGAGAGAGTCTTTTAGCATATTCCCATGTCCGACTCATCATATTCGCTCCTCTTTGCATATATGTGCTTCATTTGATGATTTGAGATCTTCCAAAAGCTTGTTCTGCCTAGTTGTGCACCCATCCCCTTACTCTTAAGCGATTCATTAACAGATTCGAAAAATTCCCTCGAATCATCTCTTTTGGCCTGTCTCTCTTTCGCTCTCTCTCACAGACAGACACAGACACACACACTCATGGAGCTTCTCATGTTAATGTATGCTTCATCCATCTTGTACCTCATTTTCATCATATGGAAAAAGATTGATGAGAGGAGAGACAAGCACTGTTACATCTTGGACTACCAGTGCTACAAGCCAACAGATGACAGGATGCTTGACACTGGGTTATGTGGAGAACTAATTAAGAGGACCAAGAAACTTGGTCTCCTGGAGTACAAGTTCCTGCTCAAGGCCATTGTCAGCTCTGGCATCGGAGAGCAGACCTACGGCCCAAGGATGGTCTTCGCCGGCCGCGAAGACAATCCCGCATTAGAAGACGGGCTTGTCGAAATGGATGAGTTCTTCCACGACAGCATCCAGAAGCTTCTGGACAAGTCAGGAATTGCTCCTTCGCAGATCGACGTGCTTGTTGTGAACGTCTCGATGCTCGCTTGCGTCCCGTCCCTATCGGCCCGGATCATCAACCACTACAAGCTTAGGCACAACGTGAAGGTGTTCAATCTCACTGGCATGGGGTGCAGCGCGAGCCTCATATCGATGGACATCGTGAGGAATGTCTTCAAGTCCTGCAAGAATGCGAACGCCCTCCTTGTGACATCGGAGTCGCTGAGCTCGAACTGGTACTCGGGCAATGACCGGTCTATGATCCTGTCTAACTGCCTGTTCCGGTCGGGCGGGTGCGCCATGCTGCTGACCAACAACCGGGCCTTGAAGGGGCGCGCCATGTTCAAACTGAAGTGCCTGGTTCGGACCCACCACGGGGCGCGGGACGAGTCCTATGGGTGCTGTCTCCAGAAAGAGGACGACCAGGGCCTGCTTGGCTTCCACCTCGGCAAAAGCCTACCAAAGGCGGCCACCCGGGCGTTCATCGACAATCTCCAGGAGATAGGCCCCAAGATCTTGCCGGCCAGAGAACTGCTCCGCTTTGGGGTGATGACTCTAGTCCGGAAAATGGGGCAGCGCTCGGCGAAATTAGCCGGGCCGAGGCCCGTGATCAACTTCAGGACGGGGGTGGACCACTTCTGCATCCACACGGGCGGGAAGGCAGTGATCGATGGGATCGGGGCGAACCTCCAGCTGAGCGAGCACGACCTTGAGCCCGCGAGGATGACGCTGCACCGCTTCGGGAACACATCTGCGAGCAGCCTGTGGTATGTGCTGGCATACATGGAGGCAAAGAGGAGGCTCAAGAGAGGTAACAGGGTGTTCATGATCAGTTTTGGCGCTGGGTTCAAGTGCAACAGTTGCTTGTGGGAGGTGGTCAGGGACTTGGGAAATGAGAAAGGCAAAGGCAACGTTTGGGAGGACTGCATCGAGAGCTACCCCTCAAAGAACATGGTCAACCCTTTCATGGAGAAGTACGGTTGGATCAACCAGGAGGATCCATGCACCTTCAACCCAGACTCCTTAGTAAGATATAATTGAATTGAAGAAGAAAAAGAAGAAGAAGAAGAAGAAGAAGCTTAGTTTGGTTTTGCATTCTCGAAAGATGAAGTCTCTCTCTCTTTAGTGTCACCTTTGTCCTTTAGATGATTATTAGCTCCTCCATCATACTTAGTCTTATTCTGTATCTTTTTACAGTAGTATTGTTCAGTCCGATTGGTGGATAACACTGCCCAATAAGCTTAAACTGCTTAGTTCACCATATGATGAGGAGAAATAACCATCTTCTCCATGTACAACTTTTTATTTGGGCTTTAGTCGCTCCTTTTGTAGTTTGCATGTACACTTTGATTTGCCCAATCTTAGAGCTGTAATTGCGTTACATGTTTATTAGTGTTGTTTCCGAAAGGAATAAATGTCTCATGTACGATATCCTTTTCATGCTTTTACTTCCAGTTTTGTGATGGGGACAACAATTCTGTCCCTCATCTCGAAGTTGCATCCAGGATGGACGATGGCGGTGAACACGCGCGTCGTACAAAGCTCGAACCCTAACCGCATGAGCGGGCCGCGGGGGCCCCGACTCGGTGGACCACGTCGCTCAAACAACTTGGTGCACGATCCGAGCCCGTGTAGGATAGGAAGCTGCGCGAAGGTACAATCTCTAGATTTTATTTAGGAACTCCTAAACCCAAAAGAGATCAAATCGAGACCTTGGTACCGCATCGGAAACTATATCCAAAAGACTTGAGCTGCTGGGCAGAGAACACACAGACGTGCAGAGAAGGTCACTGGGAACATGTTGGGAATGTACTTCCATGGGTTTAAGGATGGGGTACGGGACATATCTGTGGGAATAAGAGAGTTCCAGTTTCAGTGCATGATGGGAGTCACTTGAAGACGGGCTAACAAAGAGCACGTACCAGAAAAGGGAAGAGAAAAAGACATCCGCACACTAGCAAAAAACACTAAATCCGGAGGGAGCATTTTGTATACATGGAAACTCAGGAATTAGGAAAGAAAGAAAAATGCTTACGTGACCATCCTTAATCCACCATGAGATTAACAAATAACAAATAATTAGAATTTGTTGCGGAGTCCACTCCTGCAAGAATTTGTGGCCCACAACATGCCGTTACTCTTAGAATGGCCAAAAAACTGTTATGCAAGAAGCAATGCAGACGACCTACCGTTTTCAGTTACATACTGCATTTAGTACATATATATATATACACACACGTTCAATGATCCTAATATGGAAATATGGTCCCCCTATTGCCAAGTACAGTTCAGATTGAGCTGGAATGGCCGAATCGCTTTGATGGTGAAAGTATAGAGAGCGCGAAAGCACAGAGCTCTCTTTCTTTCTTTCTTTTTTCGGGTCGATCCTCATTTAATGAAATGCATCGCACCCGATTCGGAGTTGCCGTTTTGTGACTGCAGTGCCAAAACACAATTTGGTCGTGGGTCCACAGTTTGCTTGGCCCACACGTCAAAATGCCAACTTCGAGCGTCACCCGGCCGAAAGGTCCATCCCGACTACCACTACGTTGCCGTATTTGGGAAAGTTATGGGAAAAAGGGAAATGAAAGTTGTTAGATGGACAATGGGAAAATAGAATTCTTGTGAGGAAGAGAAGGAGGTTGATATGGACATTTTTGAAAAATTAAAACTCATCTCTCTTGTTCACCCTTTTTCTACCGATATTAATTCAATTGTTCTCTATCTGTAAGGGGTTGCGTTTCTTTCTTGGAAAATAAATAATCTGGAATATATATTTTCCTAAAACCAATCGCTCATATCGCTTGAAATAAGTCCATAAAAAGATATTTTCATTATCGACAATAATTTATATCTAAATATTTTCGTGTTCAATAAAGACATTTTTTGTTCGGGAGTATGTTTTCCAAATCATGCGTTTTTTTTGCAAAACAAACGTAGCATACATTTTCCTAAAAATGATCACTCGTAACGATTAAAATAATTAGTCGATCAAATATACTTTCGTTATCAATAATGATTTATGTCTAAGTATTTTTATGAATGATTTCAGATATTTTTTGTTCATTCTTTTTTGTAAGCGATGCAACCGATCATTTTCAAAAAAAATATTTTTCAGATCCTTCATTTTTCACCAGACAAACGCACCGAAACAAGAATTTTTTCCTCATACATGTAAATGTCGATAAGTGTTGGTAAGTGTCGTTGATTGACCTGCCTAAGCCCGATGTGAGCCGTAGGGCTCTTGACATTTTCGGGGCGGGCTTAGGCAAGAACCTTTAGATCGAAAGCTCGGCCCGAAAATCTGCGCACAGCAATTGTAAGACGGGCCGGCTTCGGCAGAAACTTACGCCCGAATTAAGGCCCGGCCCATCTGAACCCGCCGGATCCACACCCAATCACGTGGAATATTAGCGCGCGGGACTCGTTAGTCCACGATGGCAAGCGATCAAAAAGGAGGCTCTTCCCCCTCATCGGAATATCCCGCCAAGAACTCGAGCCCCCGGCGTCGATGGATCCGCAGGCGACGGCGGCGGCGGGGCGCTCCGCGGCCGGAGACGGGGGTGCCTCCGCCCCTTACGAGCTCCTCCTCTCATGTCCTCTCGGCCTCTCTCCGTCGCAGGTGCCCCTTTTCCCCCTCGCTCTCTGCTTTTCCGCCGGTCGCGCCGAAACCGGCGCACCACCATCTGATTCGCCGCTCGAATGCACCGTCACATACGATCGCGTCTGTTTACAGTAACCGGGTTCGTGGTTTCTCTTTTTAAGGTTTCTGCCGAGTTCGATGGATCGCACGATAGGGTCCCGCACCCCGACATCGACTTGGAGAATTCCATTTCTGAGGTGAGATTTTTGTTGCGCTTTCGATGTTAGATCATCTTTCGCTGTGTCGCGAATAGCTTTGCCTTTGGGATCTCGGATGGCGTTGAAGTTTTGGTCTCATGGTTCTGGGCCTTCTGGCCATTGCTTTGAGTTGACATACTTGCCAGATTGGCGTGAGAAATTACAGGCAAATTGGACTCGATCAAACTTCACTTTCTATTACAGTACTTTGGGTAATTGCTTTGGCATTTGATTCCGTGATCCGTGGTCAAAGCAGTGACTGAGCTTTGATTGCTGCATGAAGCGGCTTATTGACTGGATTAGTGGGATATGTTCTAAGACGCCCCTTCCAATCTCCGTGAATCGGCTGTTTTTTTTTTTTTAATCACTTTGTCTCTCTTGTTCAGATATGGGACCAAAGAATTCAGAGAAATGCATCTCTGTACAATGGGACGAAGTTCAGGGTATGTCGATTCTTCTTTTATTCTCTGGGTGCCTTGAATACAAGAACTTGCAGTTAGCTGTGTGCTTGATCAACTGTGACAGTTGTTATTGTAGCACCATGATTTGAAAGCCTATGGTTTCTTGTGGTAATGCTCAATGAAGGAATAGGGTGGTGAAGTTCCAAATAAGCTACAGGCTTTGGCCGTGACAGCCAAATGGACTTTTGCGTTGAACTGGTGTCTCTGGATATTTGGGATCACATCACTCACTTTTGATCTTATACAATGGACTTTCTACGATATCCTTGTATTATTAGTTTCCATGTGCACCTCGATACCTAATGACATGAGAGGCGTGATCCCACTCTCTTGCTGACCCATTTCTTGGTGAAATCGCAGTTCAAATTGTTCAACAGCCAAAATCAGAAGAATCAATGTGAAACTTGCGAGGCTGTAGATGCGCATGCTTACTCATGCATACTAAGATGAACTGCGTTTTGAGCTAATTATAGATTCACAGTATGCAGGATTCATCACACATAAGGAAGGAAGTGGATCTGAGAAAATTTCTTGGGTATCACTCCACCTTGGCCTAACGGACTACAGGTCTGTCTCTCTCTTTACCTCAATGAGGAATGTTTTGATTTTCAAAGCATAGATTATACATAACACAAGAAAAACAGTGCAACGACGACTGCAAACTTTCCTTATTTGGTTGCTTAGCAAGTTAGTGTCCCTCGCTAACAAAATCCAATGGATAATTATTATTTGATCCATGTCATGAGCATAAGTAGTCCAATGGGAGCATTACATGAAATGTCAATCCATTGACAAACATTAATATAGAGAGAAAATAAAACCAGGTGATAGCTATTTAGAGGAGTAAGTTGGATCCTTATACTTGTTGTGCATGTGAAACTCAAAATCCCTTGAAGGATCAGTCAAGACTTACCGTTCCAATTTCTTATTCCACCAAGCACTCTGTTTTGAATAGGAATACTTTAAGGATTGCAGATACCTGGAACCAAGCTAATTCTTTCTAGCTTTAGAACCCTATTGTCTAACTGATGTACTAATTCTAAATTATGAATGGCATTACCTCACCTTCTTACTGCTTCTGATTCACTCAAGTCAAGATTACTATTCTGAACTTGCTTTAAGGAGAAACTTTGTTTTTTGCAATATTTTAGTCACCAATATTGGCAAACGTTGTTAATTTCACAGCATTTGGTTATAATGTGACCTTATGTTCTCATTAATGAATGTCTATGGTCTGCCGCTGTTATGATGCCATATACTTTGTTTCAGGACTTTTGTTGGGACAAACTTGAATCCTCTGTGGGAAAGGTTCCTGGTTCCATCAAAAGGTATCTTCCCTTCTTGTTGAAATCTTGAACTGTGCTCTCTCTCTCTCTCTCTCTCTCTCTCTCTCTCGCATGCGCACTTACATGGATGAACTGCTCTCACGGCTTGAAAACGTACTATTATTATTAATCTGCTAATGTTAGATGTAGTTAGGTTGTTTTGCTTCTGAGAAGAAAATTAAGTGGAGACAAGCATGCAATAGTTTTTAATGATTCATTTTCTGTAATTAGATGGTTAGGCATTACAAGACATAGCCTACAGAGGTTCAGATGTCTTGGGGTTGCTTGCATCTTCTTCAGTCCCCATTGATGTTCATACTGTCTCTATGCTGTTTGTTGCCTTTGTACAGAGGACACCATTTGCTGTCAACACACCTCCAGTCCGTTAGGCAATGGTGCAATTGTGGAGACATTAGACAAGAAAATACTGGTACTGCGAAGAAGCAATAATGTTGGGGAATTTCCTGGTCACTTTGTATTCCCAGGAGGCCATCCAGAGGTACTAAACACAAGATTATAAGAGCTTTTTGGCTTTTCCCAACCCAAAAATGGAAATAAATTAGCACAGTACTATTTGTTTCGAATAGTAGAACGTGTGTTGGATGGTTAATGCTGCAAGAGAAAAATTGGCAACACCATCATGACAGCATTCCATACTGTCACTTGACCAGATCTATTTAAAAATTACATGCAGTAATGTATTTTGTCTTTTAGCTTCTGCTGGAATTTGGGTTTTCTAGGCCCTTATGGTTATTCACTCCTTTTTTTCTTGATTACAGCCCCAAGAAATTGGAATAGAGTCCCATCAGCCCGGCAACAGTTTGAGGGAGTCTGAGCTGCTCAACAAGAGAGTTTCTGAAGAGATGTTTGACAGCATTGTCCGAGAAGTGATTGAAGAAATTGGAGTACCTGGCTCATCCCTCGTGAGTTGGTTTCAAGTTTGAGTATAACCAAATCGTCTGTGTTTTACTTGCTTCCTGAGCATATGGTCTGTGCTTCAATTTAGTCAACTCGCTATGAAATTATTCACAGACCGTGTAGACTAAAAATGGCATTGCAGGCTAGGCAGACCTACCTAGCTTGATGCACTACTTATGTTGACAACTTGACATTCATGCAGGGCAATCCACTTTTCATTGGTATATCTCGTCGGGAGATGAATGTTAGACCAGCTGCCTTTTACTTCATGACATGCACTCTTCACTCGGATGAAATTCAAAAATGCTATTCTAGTGCACAAGATGGCTTTGAATCAACTCAACTTTATGCAGTGACACTGGTGAGTCCAAACTAGTGTTTTATTTGAGTTGCCACAGTAATCCTTGACGTGTAACATGCAAATTTCGCCTATTTGTCATGAATTACATTTAAGCATGAGCAAAATTATTCAGTCAAGGAAAAAAGCATGAGAAAATATAGATGTTGTATAGACCAGCTTATACAACGGAGTTGTATCTTTAGTGTTGGAGCCCGTAGGAATTGACATTGGTGGTTCTTATGTAACCTATGAAGTAACCTCTGGACATTTAAATCATGATGTTGGATAGTTGGTCCAGAATCAACTTTCAAAAGAAGCTATAGTTCTTACGCGTTACTTCTAAGCCAAGTGTTGAAAGCATGATTAGAAAATCCGCATGCCTTTTCAGCCCTTCTACTTCGATCTAATCTGTTATCTATTCTTCTTCTGCTGTCAGATTGATTTGGAGAACTTGACTTCTAAAATGCCTGGCTGCCATCAAGGTGGCTTTGCTCTCTATAAATTGATGTTGGAAGCTGCGAAGGATGCGAGATGAAAGCTCTGGACTTGGACTTGGAGGAAAATCGTCGATGCATCGACAACGAGAATTCCCATAACTTCCCTCCTGCGATTGATATGTTATTCTTTTGCTTAAAAATCTAGAATCACATACGTACTTAATGCCATCGAAATGGTGAGACCCACACGGGCTTCGTGACCATGCGATCGAATGGCCGGGTCATGATCTGCCAAACATAAATGTAAAACTGTCACTTTGTTAATTCGATTATAACCCTCACAGAGGATAAATATTCAATATGTAGGAACCACAAAGTTCTGATTCAACATTCTGTCACCTTCCCTGTAACAATCTGCATAGATCATTTGGCCTGTGTCTGTTCTGACTCCATTATCCTGTCAACAAAGGTTAATCTCCTAATGCTGTTTCCGAATGATCATCGGACCTCCATCTCAAATTTTTTAATGCAGTTTTCTGTTGTCGTTTACACTGACCGGTAATTTTTATTACAGTACTAGCTTGTAAAAAAATGGGTCAGTAGAAAAAGCTCCCTATATGGAATTTAGCTGGGGGGGACATCTTCCATGAAAGGCAGGCAGTTGAATTTGATTCCGTACAGAGGCATATTGGTTTCCAGGAAGAATTACCTACCATACGAGCATTGATTGTTTTTTGTAGAACGTCCTGAATAATGAATGCGTGCTACTAAAAAAAGCATTTTTTTTTTGTCTTCTTAATCACGACATACTTATTCCAAATGAATTTTATTATTTTAAAAAATAAATTTAAACCGGTATCCCGAAACTAAATTTACTGTTTGTGAGCATTTCGGTCAATATTTCGTTAAAATGCGTGAGGGACGATTACAAGATGAATTTAAATGTGGAAATCGAGAAGAGACCTAAAAAGAAATTGATTGTTGAAGATATTAACGGAGTGGTGAAATTCCAAATTCAAGAATTTACTGGAAAGCATAAAATTGGACAGTCCCGTTTGGTTCAGCTGTCTCGAAAGCCTCTTCCCAAAATGCTAAACCGTTTGGTTCAGTTTTTTGAGTCCGGAAAGCCGAAAGCTAGTATTTGGAATGCTGAAGACTATTTTTCCCTTCTCAAATTGCCCTACTCAAATTTAAATATTCCGATTTTGCCCCTGTTACTGTTCATCTTCTTCACCACGAGGGTGGTCGGTGAAGGGCCGGTGAGGGCGGATCTGGCCGGCGAAGGGCCGGCGAGGTCGCTCAACCCAGGCGAGGTCGCCCGACCCAAGCGACGATCGCCTGGTGTTGGGCGACCGCCTAGGTGTCGTCGCCTGGGTTGCAACCCAGGCCAACGTCGTCTGAGGTCGAGTGACCCAGGCGACGGCGCCTGGGCGGTCGTCCGACCCCAGGCGGCCATCGCCTGGGTCAGGCGACCTCGCCGGCCCTTCGCCGGCCAGATTCGCTCTCGTCGGCCCTTCGCCGGCCACCTTCACGGTGAAGAAGATAAAAAGTAATATGGACAAAATCGAAATATTAAAAATAAAAATTATCAAAGCTCTTTGCAAAAAAAAATTTATCAAATATTACTTAGACCAAAGTAACTTTATAAATTCTTTTTACCAAATATCACTTATATTTTTTCAAGTGACTTTCACCTAAAAATATTTCCGTGATAGCATTCGAAAGGCGGAACCAAACGGCCCGTAATCCTCTCTTCAGAGGCTTCGATGATTCATCGGTTTGGTAACTGACGCGATCGCACTCGGGACGGCAGCAGAGCGGGAAGCTCCGACGAGGGCGTGTGGTTTCGGGGTCTCGAGGAGAGGGATTTCGCGATCGGAAACCCTGCGCCGTCGTCGTCTTCGCCGGGAAGGAACAGCGCTTCGATCCCCTGCAGAAAAGAAGCCATGGACGACGAGCTGCTGGAGTTGCAGAGGCAATTCGAGTTCGCTCAGCAGGCCAAATCCAGCGTCCGTCTCTCCGACCGCAACGTCGTCGAGTTGGTCCAGAAGCTCCAGGAGCTCCACATCATCGACTTCGATCTCCTCCACACCGTTTCCGGCAAGGAATACATCACTCCCGTACGCCCCTCTCTCTCTTTCCCAATTGATATCGAGTCTGGTTTGCCTCTCGAGAGAAGACGAAAAGGGAACGCCTCGTTCGATCGTTCTACAGTTTTTGGGGTGATTTGTGATGGAGACGATTCGTGAATTCATAGCAGCTAACTCGTGTACTTTAAGAATGGCGCAAGCCTGTTGCAGTGTCCCCCCAAATTTTCCACCAAGTTAGGGCGAACTCGAATTAGGGCTTGCGTCGTGTTTTGCGTTTCTCGAGTGCAGGTTTTTTTCTTTCCTTGTTTTTGTCGAGGACCCGTAGAATAGGAAATTTGGCTTGGTTGAGTTTACTAATGGTCAATCTTGCGCTTGTAGAGTTGAGAAACCAGTAAAAATTATGCTGTGTGCAAATATTTTTTGTGGTGTCCTTTTAATTCTGATCGTTCTTCCATCTCAAATATTGTTTAAATGCTAGAGAATTTTCCGAATTTTATGTTATCTTTATAGGATCAACTGAGGCATGAAATGCTGTCGGAGGTACAAAAATCGGGGCGTGTTTCTCTAATTGACCTTGCCGACACTACCGGGGTTGATTTGTACCATGTCGAGAAGCAAGCTCAAGTCATGGTGGCTGGTAATCCAGGCCTGACGTTTATTCAGGGGGAAATCATATCGCAACATTACTGGGACTCCGTAGCTGAAGAGATCAATGAGCGGCTTCAAGAATGTAGTCAGATAGCTTTAGCAGAGCTGGCCACGCAATTACATGTTGGCTCGGAGTTATTGACATCAGTGTTGGAGCCTCGACTTGGGAGCATGGTATTATGATTTTCCAAGTCTCACAGACGTAGCATGACGAGAGTGTACCCTATCGACAATTACTTTGCCCTTGTTTTTAGGTGAAAGGAAGGCTTGAAGGTGGGCAGTTGTATACTCCGGCATATGTTGCTAGAGTCAGTGCTATGGTTCGTGGTGCTGCGAGAGGTATTTCTGTCCCTACAAATCTGTCTGCATTGTGGAGTTCTCTACAGCAACTCCTGCAGGAAATGGATGGAGCTACTGGGGTGTCCGTTGAGGCATCATTCTTCCAATCCCTATTCAACGAGCTATTGAAGGGAGGAGAGATTCTGGGTTCACTCCGTGCAGGAGTGTATTGGACTCCAACTGTATGTGATTTGCCTAACTCATTCTTTCCTTCGAAAGACTATAGGATTGTCCAATAGGACTAATGAGATTCTAAAACATCCATTATAGTAGCATCGTTGTGTGTGGCTGCCAAAATTTGTCCCTAGTGGAATTGTCGTCAATAACTTCAACTGTTTTTTTTTTTTGGTAAGGGCTTCAACTGTTTTTTTTTTTTGTTAAGGACTTCAACTGTTTTTTTTTTTGCTCTTTTCCTCAAGAATTGTCAATTTCATATTAAATCGGGTGCATCTGCTGTTTTCACTATAGGGGCGAAAATGTTTAGTTTCTGATTTATGCAAGGGGAACTGGAAGATTGATTGGCAAGTAGTGTCGACCTTGAGTGTAAGAGGCACAAGGGATCAATAATAGTGCTTTTATACATTGTAGCGTACTATTTTCTTCAAACGACTTGCGTTTTAAGCAGCACTATATTGCTTACGGAGAAAATTGTTACCTTCAAGTTCCATGATGAGAATGTACTTAGATAATATTTGTTTGTGTTCTGCTATATCGTTAGAAATGGCTGGAGGGTAAAAATGTTGTGGTTGTCCAAGATATACGTAGTCAAAGTGTAGGTGCAGGTTCATTTTGTGTGCTCTCGCAAATATATGTTTTTCCAAATGAAAAAGTATCGTTTTTATTTATTATGATCTCCACTTTGTCTCTTTCACTTACCATGTCAATATGCTACAGGTCTTTGCCATTGCTCAGAAGGAATGTGTTGATTCTTTTTTCTCGCAGGTTTGTGGTTTTATGCTCCCACTCCTCCTCCTCCTCCTCCTCTCTCTCTCTCTCTCTCTCTCTCTCTCTCTCTCTCTCGGTTTAGTCGCGCAGTACAGTGTTCTTGGCCTGGTGAAAAGGAAGATGCTACTTAGGATAGTTAGGAGGGTCAATAAAATCAACTATAGGATCAAATTGAAGATTTATTGGCATGATTTCAAAGGCATCACTCCAAGACCTTTGTTTGTGTAGTACAAATCATGCTGATTTGTAGGAATAAGCAGGATGTTTAGAACCGAATCGCTCTATACGCACTCACTGCCTCCTGCAGACTATTTTATTGAGATGAGATGTGGTTCTCTAGCAAGAGCGAGAAATTTTGATTTAATTACCTTTGAACAGCTATTACAAGCTGAAAGCCTAAAACATAAATTATAAAACCAATTGTTTCTTTAACAGAAAATTATGAAATTTTTACTGGTTAATGGTTTATCTTACTAGGTTTCGCCAAAGTAGGGGCAATATTAGCACTATATCTCCATAAATTAGACAAAACTATGGGTAAATTTAATTGACAGCCACTAAACTTTAGTGATTTTTCAATCAGGTTGCTGAATTTCGGTTGGAATCACTCATTGCACTTATTTTCAATTATTTGCAATTGGTGCACTTTGACTGGAATCCGACCAATCTTGTAGCAAGATGCTAACGCTGTGCCCACGTGGCAATGACGGTAGCATCCACGTGTCTGGCACTTCGGCATTTTGTGGGGAAATTGGCCAGATTTTGGTTAAAGCGAATCAATTTGCAAATATTTGAAAATTTAGTTAGTTTGGAGATCGAAGTCATAGTTCAATGACAGTAATTGCAAAATCTACTAAATTTCAATAACCACAGGTGGAATTTATCCCAAAAGTATGGTAGTAGAACTGGCATATGACGTATGTACTTAACCTTTTGGGTTTTGAGGTGCTGGCTCTTAATTTTCCTGTTTTATCGAGTTTCCTGGAGTGCTTAGTTTACTGTTTGTTTCTGTGTGGCAGAATTCCTTCGTCATATATGAAACGCTTAGCAGACTAGGGATATCGCAACCTGTTCAATTCTTACAGGTATTTTTGGCTGTATAATTAATATTGATAAATAGCTCATTCTGCATCTATTTGCTTATTTGTTTGTTCTCTAATCAGATTTTGGCCATTTACTTTAATTAGTCCAGGTATCCTCATGGATTCCCGTTGGCAAATGCTTTTGTGCACCCCTCCTTGACAGAAATGGTGGATGCTGCTATTGAAGATGCTGTTGAACGTTCTAGCTGGTAATGGCTACAGAAGATTCTCAATATATATAATGCACTCGTATATGTTTCTCATCAGTAGGGAGCATTATTGAC